ACAGTACTTCTGCAACCTACATCATATCAGCAGCAGGATCAACACCATCCCTTCAGCTGCTGGCGCTGGTAAGTATACTACGATAATAAATGAGATAGGTCTGCATTGACTTAAAATGTTGAGGAACTTAAAGGAGGACAATAGTTATACAGTACCCCCCCCCCCCCCCCCCCCCCCCCTTCTCGAGGACACACACACACTAACAATCTCAGTTAAAACGATATATATTTTGTTACAAAACATTTCAATAACAAATGTCAAACAATTCTATTTCTTTTAAAAGCAAAAAATTAAACAAATCCTGGCATTATTTGAAGGTGATGAATAGGAATGTTTATACCTTGTGATGGAAAAGTCAACATAGTCAAGCAGGTCATGCCAGGCCAGGCCATGCCAGGTAACAAGTACCATCTTTTAACGTACTTTGGTGTGACTCTTGCCAGGGATCGAACCCCGGACCTTCCGCTCTACCACGGAGGCCCTTCTAAGATTCATAGTGACAAAACACTCTCCAGAAGACTGACAAGAGGGATGACTTCGTCTTTAAAATAGTCAACTTTCCCTAGTTGTCGAGCATCATCCCTGCAGCTCCAGCCCTTGTCAACATTTCACAAGACCCGTGAAGATTCCGGGGTAGAATAGGTCTTCAGCAACCCATACTTCCCGTAAAAGGCGACTATGCTTATCGTAAAAGGCGACTAACGGGATCGGGTGGTAAGGTTCGCTGACTTGGTTGAGACATGTCATCGATCCCAATTGCGTGGATCGATGCTCATGATGTCAATCACTGGATTGTCTGGTCCAGACTCGATTATTTTACAGACCGCCGTCATATAGCTGGAATATTGCTGAGTGCGGCGTTAAACAACAAACCAAACCAAAAAAATTAAACAATCTTTGAGGTTCAATCGGGCATGCTCTACAAATGTTTTGTGGTAGACATGTAGAATACCTCTCCAAATTTGACGCATCATTGACAAAAGTGATGTATTTGGACTTAACGATATGTAACCGTGTGTTTTTCAGGTGAACTATTGATTTGCCTTTGCGCGTGTTTGTGACGGTTGTCACTGGTGGAACAGGATACGCTCACCTTTTGGCGAACACTTGGTGTCATAACTATTTGATAATGATTTATAAACACATTATCATGATGTAGTCGGAATTCTACATTCGACTCTGCTTTTGGTAGAGATACGTTATGAATATGGAAAGCGAAGATATCCGTCCGTCCGTCTGTACCATATCTCTGACATGTCTTCTTTCATGAAACTTTGTACACACAAACACCATCTATTTAGGATGTTTTAGAAGTTTTATTCTTTCCGTTTCCATGGCAACAACTTTGTTCATATTCGTGTGTTTGTCCGGACCATACTCTCAAACTAATAATCATTGTTTCATGAAATTTTGCACACACAAAGACCAGGTTGTCAACTGATGCCTTTGGTCTTGATATTTTTATAGAAGTTTTGTTTGTTTTCCTTTTTGCACGGCGACAAGGTTAACTTTGACTTTGTTCATAGTGTTGTGTCTGTCAGGACCACATCTCTGAATATCACTGATTTGTCATCTTCTGATGACTCTTGTTTGAATAATATACATGTGGTGAACTGAGTAGTTTTAGAAATGATGGGACCCGCGAAGATCCGTTGTAGACTAGATCTTCAGCAAGCCATGCTTGCCGTAAAAGGCGACTATGCTTGTCGTAAGAGGCGACTAACGAGATCGGGTGGTCAGGCTCGCTGACTTGGTTGATGCATGCCCTCGATCCAAAATTGCGTGGATCGATGTTTGTGATGTGAATCACTGGATTGTCTGGTCCAGACGCGATTATTTACAGACCGCCGACATATAGCTGGAATATTGCTGAGAGCGGCGTTAAACAACAAACAAACCAACAATCAAAAGAAATGATGGATATTTCTAAATAATATATTGTGGTTGAAGGAAAAGATTGTTTCAATAGTTATCAGTCAAATACAAATTGGCAATTTTATTTTTAATCAACTGAATAATACAGTCATTAGTAACTTTTCACCTATACAAAGATTAAATAGTTTGATAGGCATTACTTAGAAGTTGACGGATGCCAAGCTAGACACAATTTTAAGGATAACAACTTCTTTAATACTGTGAAAAGCGACGTTTCGGTATAGATCCTTGCTTGACAACGGTTTAAGGAAACGTCGCCTTTCATAGTATTAAAGAAGTTGTAATCCATAAAATTGTGTCTATCTTATACAAACATTTAAGTTTATAGATATTTCAGTATAAGTAAGTAAGTGCGATTTGGGATCGATCACTTGATATTCCAGTGAGTGGGGTGGGGTGGTGGGGTTTTGTATTGATATTAGATATTGTATCAGCTACAGCATCCAAACCAGATATTTTTAAAATTTGAAGTCATGCATTTCTTAGATGTTTACTACTTTGGTGAAAGTCATGCGCACAGGTATGGTGCTGAAACTAGGATTCGAACCCAGGATCAGGCATGCCTACGTAACTCATCACGTTAAACACATCTCTGAACAGCAAATTGCGGCGCCTGAGTCGACTGGGCCCCCTTCTCCCCGATGTGTAGAGTGAGTGAGTATGGTTTTACGCCGCTTTTAGCAATATTCCAGCAATATCACGGCGGGGGACACCAGAAATAGGCTTCACACATTGTACCCATGTCGGAATCGAACCCGGGTCTTCGGCGTGACAAGCGAACGCTTTAACCACTAGGCTACCCGACCGCCCCCCGATGTGTAGAAGTGTCATCAGCACCTGCAGCATCCATGCAGGGAGACCATGTGTAACTCGTTGTGTCAACGAAGTGTGTGACAGATATGTACTACATGCACCCAATCCAGTTATACGTAACAACTGCGAATAAGTATGTGTACCTGAGCGCATAGTAGATTACTACTTCCCTTGTCTGTAAACAAAGGGACGATTAGAGTGCTTTGAAACATGTAATATGTCTGATAAATAACAACATGGCAGCATACACAATACAAATGCACACCTGGAACAGCTTTAGGCATGCATTTATCTGTAGATTGTCAATTGTCTAGTGACACTATCATGGAAATTCAACAATCGATGTCCCATGACGACAAAGGAATTATAACTGGGGAGTATTGATATCCATTCATGTAAAGGTAACAAGTGTTTTCATTCTGCTACTCGCCTGAATTGTGCACCATAGCCTTAATATAAAAGCGGAAGGGTGTCCAATTTCTAACTTGCAATGTAATTACAGACAAACATATTCTAACAACTAACCCTTTCTCGTCAATGAAATAATTCAATGTTGTCAATCAGACGTGCACAATCATCCAGCCTTGGTAATATATGAAGATGTGCAGACACTCGTCCATGGGTATATAAATATAAAAACTTTTTGATACACACAGTATGTACATCTATATATATATGACACTGACATAGATGAAAGAAAATAATTAAAATAACGATTAAAAACAAATTCAATTAATGTCTGTTTGTTTGTTGCTTAACGCCGCACTCGGCAATATTCCAGCTATATGACGGCGGACTGTAAATAATCGCTCTAGACCAGACAATCCAGTAACTGACAGTAACGATGACATGCATCAACCAAGTCGGTGAACCTGACCACCCGATCCCGTTTGTCGCCTCTTACGACAACCACAGTCGCCATTTACGGCAAGCATGGGTTGCGGAAGACCTATTCCACCCCGGATCTTCACGAATGCTACAAAAATGTTATCATTAGGCTTTCGTAGCTGACAGGCATACTGACATCTACTCACGTGTATACAGGTAACTGATCATGGACATAGATAAATACACCAACTGTACACTGATAAGTGTTCATGTGTGTGTTCATGCACTTGAAGCTGTACACACGCACGTGAACAGATATGGGATTTCACTGTTTCAACTTATCCTTTCTTGTCAATGAAAGAATTAAATGTACACTGATATGACTCGTTTCAGATGTAGCAAGTTTAAATTTGCAATTGACTTGGGGAGATACACAAATGTCCCATACACTGAACGATTATGTAAATATTGTATAGAAAATGGTATATCTTTTATTGAAGATGAATTTCATGTTTTACTTGTATGTGAGCGTTATTCAGCCCTAAGAAATATGTATCTTAAACAGTATATCAAGTTTCAAACTGTAACATCTTTTACTGAAATTATTTCATCAGAAAACTTTGATGTTGTATATAACACGTTTATATCTATATAAAGTCCAACGGCTAAGAGAAACTTAAATCGACTACTTCCTTGGCATGCGTAGTTCATGCAATCAACCATTGTCTGTATTATGGGCCTATGGCCTTCTTACTGAATAAACTGTCTGTCTGTCTGTCTGATATGTGTTCATGTGTGTTCATGCACTTGCAGCCTTAAACACGCATGTGGATAGATGTGTGTTTTCACTGGCATAAATAAAATTAATAAACAAACATGTACAGATGTGTCATGATATACGTACCGAAATTTATACACCTCTACAGAGACGTGTGTTCATAAATCTACAGAGATACACACACATGTACACTGATGTGTGTTCACAGATATGTGTTTATAGATCCACAGAGGTACACACACCGATGTGTGTTCAAAAGACATAAAATATAGACACACGTGTACAAAGACAAGTGTTCACAGACATACAGAAATACACACATGTGTTTCCATAGATCAACAGAAATGCACTGGCGTTTTGGTATAGACAAGTTCAAAGATATACAGACTAAGTAAAAATTAAGGACAAGTACGAGTTCAACATTTGTGTTTGTTTTGCTAACATCCCGGCCGGGGCTCCTCCCATCTGTCACACAAAGCCCCTCCCACAATTCAGGTTTTCTTCCCCAGGCCACTGGGCAAAAAGCCCGGGCAGGTTTATACAACCGTTGCACAATTTCATGCACGGGTTCACACGTTGATGCCACTGGCTGTTGCTGCCCTGGACAACTATATAAGTGATATGATGATATACACTGATCAAGGCCCCGTGTCCGTGTACTGATGCAAGCCTTGTCGAGACATCCCTCATAAACGGCTGTGAGTATATGCATATGCACCTACTGAAGGAGCAGAAAGTAGGCGTGTGGTCACACGAATCTATTGTCATTTACAGTACATTTCGTAAGTACCTTCAGCTTGTTTCGCGCAGTTCTTCCGCTTCTAAAGGTATTATCGTGCCTCTTTTGCGGCATTAACTTTCGTGCCATTGTCAAGATAAAATGTAACAAGATCGCGCCACTTTTAAGCCAACAAAGCGACACGTTTGTGCCACTATTTCGCAACTTTTGCAACACAGTAGGCAAGTATCTACTCAAGTTTGCCACATTTGTCATACGACCTGCTGTTTTACTTTCATTGTTCCTGATTTGGGATACTTAATTTTTTTCCCTGAGATGCTAATCTGGATTGTTTGGACTGCAAGGTCGTTAATCTCTGTATATTTTCAATACTGATCTTGCTATTCTAGTTAGGCGGTAAATCTAAAATGATCACCAGCTGCAGTGTATTAATACTACAACCTCCATCACGCTTAGTAGATGTACATGACTGCAACAAGGCTAGAAAGGAATCACAATCACAATCTTTTGTAGGCCAATATGACCTTCAGGAATACTCTCAAGCAACTAATGTTCAGTGCATGTTTAGCATCCCATAAAATCTCTTTATTCTGGATGTATTTAAAAATACTCTTCATGCTGGATGTATTCTGACTGACTGAGTATGGTTTTACGCCGCTTTTAGCAATATCCCAGCAATATCACGGCGGGGGATACCAGAAATGGGCTTCACACATTGTACCCATGTCGGGAATCGAACCCGGGTCTTCGGCGTGACGAGCGAACGCTTTAACCACTAGGCTACCCGACCGCTCCTCTGGATGTATTCAATAGTCCGGACAAAATTGTTTTGTTCTGAAGGCTTTTTTCTGTGTTAAAGCAAGTCTTTCACATACATATGACGACATTTAGTACGATTCGTATGCTATGGCGACTGGGGTGGAGGGGTGGTCGGGTAGCCTAGTGGTTAAAGCGTTCGCTCGTCACGCCGAAGACCCGGGTTCGATTCCCGACATGGGTACAATGTGTGAAGCCCATTTCTGGTGTCCCCCGCCGTGATATTGCTGGAATATTGCTAAAAGGGGCGTAAAACTATAATCACTCACTCACTCACTGGTGTGGATAAACTATATTATTCACTTTGTGATAAAATACACTTTTCGAGATGTAACGATTTGTGACTGTGGATGAAACCTAGGGACACCAAACAACAATCAAATTTGAAGTAACTGACATGACCGCCTGTGTCTTGAAAAGACAGCCTGTGTCTTATTTTCTATTGGAAAGGCTATGGCTTCTGGGAAGCGGAGTGGGACGTCAGGTCGGATTGTCATAAGATGGCATATTGTGTTACACGTTTAACTCATTGTTGTTGAAATAATGTTGAATCAAGGTCGTGCTTCAATGTTTAAATGACATTGACGTTTGGTTAGATTTGAAAGTTCAACGTTGAATAAACATCAGGTATCACGGTTGAAGTTTGGTTCGGTGTTGGTTGGATAATTGTTGCATTCAGCCCTATAGTACAGTATAATCAAGTCACACCCCAGCTAACATACTACGTTTTCACAACGTTTGGTAATGTTGTGAATTGGTAACATCGATATATAACATTTCCACAACGTTATAATTACGTTACTGTGTAACGTTTTTTCCACGTCAAAACAACGTTGCACATTTACGATGTGAAAACATTGTGTAACGGATATCTGACGTTTTTTCCACAACGTCATACAACGTTGCACAAATACGTTGTGAAAACGATATGCAAAAGGTGTGTATTGGATATCTGACAACGTTTTTTTCACAGTGTCATTAAACGTTGCACATTTAAGTTGTGAAAACGTTGTGTATCGGATATCTGACAATGTTGTTTAACTACGTTAGTGTAACGTTATACAGTTTTCTTCATGATAGTCATAGGAATGGAAGTGTTTCATCAAAATGAGTAATACATTACTTTCCCATATGTTCAGCATAAGGTATTCCATCTCTAAATATTATAATGTCCTGAACGTAACTATTTCAATATCGCCATAAAATCGTTGAATTAAGTTAAAATGAGTTAAATTTTGTGTATGATACTTGATGGAATACAAGTTAAATATTTGCGAAACAAAAACATGAGTTTTGAGTAAAGGAAAATATATATATGGGCAGGCCCATGGGCGAGATGTTGTAAATATGAAAACAGCATCCTTTTTTTTGTAAATACCTTTGACCGAGACTAGGAAAAGACCGTAGAGTTTCTGGACTTTTGGGTTTCCAGAATTAAAATGGGACCTGTTAATTGCTTCTCTCTTAGACAACGTTAGTATTACATTACAATGTATTGAAAACCATGCAAATTTACGTTGTGCAAACGTTGTGCTTTGGACATCATTCAATGTGTTCGTACGTCCTTTTCTGAAACGTTGGTGCGACGTCATACAGTGTATTGCTTCACGATACTCGTAGGAGTAGAAGACTTTTGAAGTGTTTCATCACAATCAACTTGACTTCGTCAGAAAACTCAGCTAGTAAGGCATATGGAGAACATTTCCAAATGTTACGCATCAGTGATAAAAATGATCTCCGATGCAATTCCCTATTTTGACATGTTCCACATGTTTTTCATGTGAACAATTAACTTGAATTGCATGTGTTTGTGACAGATTCCGTTGTTGGGGCAGGAAACACTCATCTTTTCGCGAACACCTGGTATCATCACTACTTGATAAACACAAGTCATGATCATGATAAAGTCGGAATCGTACAATCGACACTGCTTTATGCAGAGATTAGGGGGCACGGGTGGCCCAGTCGTCTAAGGCGCCGCGATTCGCTGTGCAGAGTTGCGTCCCTTGGGCACGCCAGAAACCTATGGTTGTGGGTTCGAATCCCGGTTCGCCCCAATTATGTTTCTCGGTTTGTCAGCACCATACCCGTGCTCGTGGGTTTCACCGAAGTGGTAAACGTCTAAAAACCTGCACCACTTGGGGCTTTCCTCCCACATTAAGCTGACACGCCGCGATATGACTGGAATACTGTTAAAAGCGGCGTTAAACCCAACTCACTCACTCACTCACTTATGCAGAGATTCCTGTTGGATATGAACAGGTTTTTGTCGCTTAATCTGGATCTGTAAAATGTTTCCATACATTGAGGATTGATGTGGCCTGTGATGGACATGTTCAAAATCCGTCGGTTCTGACACCCCATCGAACCCTTCAGTGAAAGGGAAACAATGTGTGTACACATTAGATGACTCTCAATGACAGGGCTGGGAATTTGAGTGGTTGTTCACACGAAAAGGACAATACTGCCTGTTGTCGAATCAATGTTGGGCGGCGACTTTGATCTCGCCTCAAACCATACATGTTATATAATGAACCATTAAATGATGATGCACATTTTAGAATTGCAGGAAAATAAACAAGAATCGTTCTTGTTGCATATCAAGGCAAAAATTCATCTGTTATTAACTTTAAGTGTCTTTGTGCCAAGTTTTTTCCCATTAATGTTTACATAGCACTTCAGCCTCCGTGGTCATGTGGAAGAACGTCTGCCCTGAGATGGGAGGTCTGGGGTTTGATCCCCGGCCGCGTCATTAAAAAATACGTTAAAGGTGGTACTTGTTGTTACCCTGCCTGGTTCTTGCGCTCGGCATAAAGGGACCAAAACAAGCACTGGTAGGCTAGGAGTCAGTATACTGTGTCTGATTGGGTTTTTCGTGTTACACTGCGACATGGGAAAGCACTCGGCATTTGTCCGGACCAATACAAGCAGCCACACACACTCACGTGCATGCAGGTCACTTTGATCTTGCAATAATCTTGAACGCGACGTTAAACCCCATTTCACCATTTCACTTATAACTTCAATAACGATCTGGCAAAGCTCAAGTTGGAGACAAAACAGTCGTTGACGTTGAATGAATATATACATAGTACCTGACCCGTGAAGATTCCGGGGTAGAATAGGTATTCAGCAACCCATGCTTGCCGTAAAAGGTGACTATGCTTGTCGTAAAAGGCGACTAACGGGATCGGGTGGCAAGGCTCGCTGACTTGGTTGATGCATGTCATCGATCCCAATTGCGTGGATCGATGCTCATGATATACATCACTGGATTGTCTGGTCTAGACTCGATCATTTACAGACCGCCGTTATATAGCTGGAATATTGCGGCGTTAAACAACAAACCAACCAACAACCAACGTAGTACCTACACATGACAACGAGCTGAAATCCAGCGATAGAAAAGCTTACTTACTATTCTATGGTATGCAGGAAGGAAACACAAAAACAAAATTCAAAATTCAAAATTTAGCATTGTGAGACAGAACAGGTCCTCAGGAACTCATGTTTGCCGTAAAAGGCGACTAAAGGGATCGGATTGTCAGGCTCGCTGACTTGGGTGATACATGTCATCGCATCCCAGTTGCGTAGATCGATGCTCATGATATCAATCACTGGGTTGTGTGCTCATATTCGATTATTTTCAAACCGCTGTGACATATAGCGGGAATATTGTTGTATGCGGGATTGCACAAGAAAGAAACGAACAAAACAATAATACGCAAATAATCCATCGCCCATCCGCTGTACCACAGCAACGTGATTATACGTACCTGACACATAAGAAGCTGTTTTCGAAGCAAGATCTTTTCTTAGAGGAACGGGGGAAAGTGTGCAGTCCGACCTTCCTCCCATGTTAAAAAAGACACGTGCGATTCTCGGAAGGCAAGCAAGGGAGATACGGAAACGCGACGGACTTTGGACCCGTGTTCGTGTAATCTGAACAGACATTGTTATGGAAACAAAGGACCCTCGGGAACCAAGAGCGTCTTGGACAAAGTTATAATTTAAAATGATCGGGAAGTCATTTTCAGGTAACGGGGCCACTGTTGTTCTACCATGTCTGGATTTTAACAACTCTACATCCATGATATTATCTTCCCATGCACGTGAATGCATCTTGTGGCTACCGTCAATTCAAGTGCACCGGACACGCATATGTTGTGTACCGAGGTGAGAGCTGTAATAATATCACAACCAAAGACTACAGAGTGTGAATGCTGG